GGTGGGGCTGGGTGTGTGTTGTCAAATGTTGCCGAGGGCCACCAAAAAGGAGCTTGATGCCTCAGGCCGCATGTTGGACAGCCCTGGGATAGAGAATTATGCAAAAGAAGGGCATGGTGGACTGACTAGAACAATGAACAGGAACTCTCCATGCTGCAATATTATGCTGCAGGTTTCATTTGTGTTACTGAGTGTGCTGCAGTCATTCCGTAAAAAGTGCGACTAGCTTCTCTGCCCAGTCCTTGGGAAGCTGACTTTTACTCTCCTTCTCTTTCCTCATAGTGGGAGGTCGTGTAGACTTTGAGGACTTCGTAGAGATGATGGGCCCAAAGTTGCGTGAGGAGACTGCTCACATGGTGGGCGTGAGGGAGCTGAAAATTGCCTTCCGTGAGGTATGATGGGGAAGCCAATCAGCGGGAGGGAAGCAGGGAATTGTGATATTCCTCAAACCATATTCCATGTAATGCTTTAGATACAACTGCACATTATATTTCCATAAGCCCTGACATTGTAAGGGATTCTTCCCTGATGAATTGTTAGACACACAGAAGTATGTAGGTTCAGGCTAGAAATGTGGGTGGCAACTAGCCAGGGAATCGTCTTGGCCCTCCAGATGTTGTAGAACTACATTTCCCAATATCCTTGGCCGTTGGCTGTGCTTTCTGTGGCTGATGAGAGTTGTAGTTCAGCAGCACTTGGAGGGCCAAAAGCTCCTCACATCTGGGCTAAGACATTCATAGTTACCCTGTCCTCTCACTACTGGAATCAAGTTATATTGTTTATCACTTATTATGGGTCAAAAAAGTAACTGATTCTCAGCAATCCACAAAACAAGGTAACTTACTAGCACTAGATAAGGCTTCCTCACCCTCGGCTCTCCAGATGTTTTGAGACTACAGTTCCCATCATCCCTGACTAATGGTCCTGCTAACTAGGGATCATGGGACGCGGGTGGCGCTGTGGGTAAAGCCACAGTGCCTAGGACTTGCCGATCGTATGGTCAGCGGTTCGAATCCCCGTGGCGGGGTGAGCTCCCATCTCTCGGTCCCAGCTCCTGCCTACCTAGCAGTTCAAAAGCACCCCTAAGTGCAAGTAGATAAATAGGTACCGCTTTATAGCGGGAAGGTAAACGGCGTTTCCGTGTGCTGCGCTGGTGCTGGCTCGCCAGAGTAGCTTCGTCACGCTGGCCACGTGACCCGGAAGTGTCTTCGGACAGCGCTGGCTCCCGGCCTCTTAAGTGAGATGAGCGCACAACCCTAGAGTCGGACACGACTGGCCCGTACGGGCAGGGGTACCTTTACCTTTTTTTTAACTAGGGATCATGGGAGCTGTAGGCCAAAAACATCTGGAGGGCCGAGGTTGAGGAAGCCTGCACTAGATAATATATTTTTCATTGTTGTTTTTAAACTGCAAGCTTTTTGAAGACCCCGCAGGGCTAGCAATATGGCATATACATTTCAGAAATAAATATGAAAGTTCTTCCAGCCTTTTCAGGGTCTTGGATAGTGCTCTGTGTGTGCAGAATAGCTCTGTGTTTGCCGCATTAGTTTGTAAAACGTATCAGCCATAATCTTGGCTTATTTTGGTTGGAGTGCTTGGTAGTCCTACTGGCTCCACAGAATTAGAGATGACAGTTGGAAGCCCATGATGGATCTTACTATAGCCAAATAAAAGGAATTAATTAGATGAAGTATTAATACATTGCCCTCTGGTGGCTGTCTGTGTGAATAACAAAATTTCTTGGGGGGTGGAACATTTCAGCCTATGCAGGAGAACGTGTTTCTGTGTTGTGCAAGCTCCTAGGGGGCAAGTAGTACGTCTTAGATATGGCTAACATGTGTTCAAAAGCATATCTCCTGTTTTGGTGCTGGTGTCTGTGATGTCTCTTCATTGAGCTGCTATGTGCACATAAGATGAACCGAGACAAGAAGTGCCTGATAGGTTTCTCTTGATGCTATGGAACGAGGAGCGGCTTCTAAAATAAGCTAAAACAACCTTACCTTGGTAGGGCTGCAAGCAGCCGTGTTAGACCCGGCAAATGTAAATGGTATATGAACTTGCTTCTTACACCCAGGTACCCACAGCAGTGAGAGGCAGCTGCTTCTCTCTGGGGCAATTGCACACTATGTATGTATAAAGGAGTGGAGCCAATGGCCTTTGGCACTACATGAGGAGGTAAAATACTAGATGAATGAGAAAGACACCTGCAACTGTCTCTCACTAGATGGATACTTCATTTGTTCATTCATTCATTCATTTACACAACACCCCACACACTCCTGAAGGGCATGATACCACAGGGAAACAACTCCTTTGCTGCTGCAGGTGGATGTGTGAAGGGGATCAAAGCTACTAGTAAATGCTTGCCAGTTTAGGATAGAGGAGCCGAGGTGGAGTGGGGTGACCAGGATTGGGGATTATGGGGGTAAGCATGAAAAGAGGAGGATCTTGGGGGATTTGAGGGGGAAGGAAACAGAAGTGTCTGAGCTGGAGGTAACATTGTGCATGTGCCCTTCTTTCTGAAGTTTGACACAGATGGGGATGGAGCGATCAGTGGGGCAGAGCTGCGCCAGGCTGTGACTGTACTCCTGGGGGAGCAACTCAATGGCCAGGAAGTGGATGAGATCCTGCAGGACATGGACCTCAATGGGGATGGAAGAGTGGACTTTGATGGTAAGAGAACAGAGCACCTTCCCTATTAACCGTCTTCTCTAAATGCGACAGGGGTTAGGGGGGGGGTAGATACAGAATAGATGTGGGTTGTGGCTAACGTCATGTGTATGACGTGGGGGATGCAGAGGGTGCAAACAGTGGCTATCTCGGGGACTGATTCTCCTCTTCCCACCTGTTTCAGAGTTTGTGATGATGCTGTCAAGCAGGTAACAAGATCCAAAGGGGAAGTGAGTGTTTTCTTACTTCCAGAATTACTGCCCTTTCCCCCTGATAGCCAGAGGGAGCCGGCTGTCCTTTGATGTCTCTTCACCCCTGGAGATAATGGGGCAACACCCACAGAAGGCTGCAGTATCTCCTCCAATTCTGGGTCCTTCAGTGAAAACCCATGCACACCCAACTACCAGCTGACTCCACCTTCACATGGTGCAAGATATCTCAGGGGGGAAACTCTGACCCAGGGGAGCTATCCTGCAGCTGGGCTCCTGAAGAGGCCTCCTCTCTCCTTTGGATATGGAAGATTGTTCCTAACTATGGATCAGATCTGAAGCTTTGGATGATCTTCCTGTATCCAAGCTTTCTGCACAGTATTTTTCTATGTTATTCTTTCATTTCTATATCACAAACCAATCTAATATCTGTCTGGTATACAAAATCTCAGTTAAAAGCAAAACACTATAACAGATAATATCAAAGCAAAATACATTCAGTTTTGGGCTTCATCCATGAGCCCAGAATTCCTGGCGATTCCCACTAAAATCAGGAAGTTTAGCAGAGCAAAATTTCATATTCCACTCCCCTTGGGATGTCAGTATTCTCCTGAATTTGAATGGTGGTATCCATATATCTCCGGGGCAAAACAAAGACATGAAAGAAAGGCCTGTTTGCAGAGGCCTTAAGATGGAAAGGGAAGAAATGAACTTTAGTGTGCTTCTGTCCGTCCCCACTAGGCTACGTTACTGGGGATGCGTGTGCACTGTCTTGTTTAATCAATACAGCAAAACTCAGGCCTAGCCAGTAGCAAACTGGAAGAACCAGCCCATTGCTATGTATTTCCACAAGATGTGAAGCGCTCCTCAAGGACTACCTTGCTGAAGCCTCAACTTTGTATTTTTTGTAGTGCAACAGTTTAAGCCAAAGTTCAAGTCCTTTCTCTCTCCTATGCCAAGAGCTGGCAGGAGCCGGTACTGCAAAATAAAAGGGTTTGTAGAGCATAGCTCAGTGTTGGAGCAAACATCCCACGTTCTAAAGTTCCCAGGCTGCATCACCAGAGTTTTGAGCCAAGAGGTAGGGTAGCTGCAGGAAGGTTAGGAAAGCCCCACTGAATGAAACTCCAGAGAGTTACCACCAGGCAGAGAAGACAGTGCTGGGTCTTGACTAGATGGCCCAACTGAGTATGGGATAACCTCATAGGTAGCATATTGGGGAAAAGATGGAAATGCAGCATTGTATGCAACAAGCAGTGGGGCAGATCCAATACCGTTAACAATTAGGCACCCATAATCGTAAGACTGTGAGCTCTGGGGAACCTTTCATTCATAAGATTATGTATCTATTTTAGAAGTGAGAGAGAATCCTTCTTCCCTCCTCCCACACACCCATCGGATAACACTGCCATTATCTCATTGATCATTCCCAACAGTGTCACCACTGAGAGGGAAAGGGTGGCCACCTGCTTTACCTTACAGGGGACAGTCCTCTAATTGGAAGGTCATCTCTAACTGAAGGGCAATCCAGTCCAAGTCCATTTTAAAGATAAAGAACCATAAGAAGGAAGGGCAGGAGCCTTGTATATGAGAGAACTGGATCCTTGAAGTTTCCCATTCACAGCACGGGGCAGGAGACTGAGCTGGCACACAAGTCACCTGGTCACAGTCTTTCCCAGTATAGTGAGATGCATTGCACTTTCATTTAAATTATCAATTATGAACATTTTCAAAATTTGCAATGATACACGTAAAATTGGATTATGCAAATAAACATCCTTTTATTTTTGTGGCCACCCTCATGAAGAAGGACATTTGGGGGGTAGGGCAGCTGAGCCTGAGCTAAAATGGCTCAGGCAGTCCTGAATAGATCACAGGATTTGAATCTAGACTCACACCTTGTATTCATGCTAACTCTAACCGTATTAGAACACAGTGATCCACTCCAACAGAACAGTTCCATCCCACAGATATTAAAAGGCAATCTAGAAAACCTGCAGGGGGCCAGCCCAGTGCAAATTCTTTGGATGAAAAGGCAGGTTGAACTACTGTTTTAGAGAATGATGTTATCGTATCCTATAAGCACGAGATACAGCTATCTCCAGTAATAAACTATGAAATTATACAAGGACTCTTTATTTTTGTGCAAAAATACGGTGCCTAGGCGAGGTACACTACAGAAGCTTCTTAGATGATATAAAATGTATTCATTTGAACTGGCTTCTGGTGATGTCTGGTTTGTTCCCGGGGTTAAACGTAACTTATTTAAAGCTCCTTCTGCAGTGCAGGTTGGGCGAATGTGCGTTTCTCCATCTTGACGAAGGCCACTTTCTTCTCATAGTAGGCTGCCTCATTGATGAAGGCTGGGTAGGTGATGCTGTCACCCTCATACAGAATCACATCTCCACTGAGCGTCTGGAAAATGGGGTCCCCGGGCTTCAGGGGGTGGAAATCTTTATCCTAAAGAGAGAGGATTTGATTCTAAGCTAAAGGCAGAACAGTCAGAAGCATCACCTGGAGCAAGCATTCCTACATCTTCTCTGCCTGGGAGTGGCAAGAGCAACTCTCACAGAAGCTGGAATAGATGCAGCAAGGGTTTTCCCACACTGCTGCCTGCAGGGTGATGGGTGATAAGATGTAGTAGAAAGTGACAGCTAAGACACTTACAACAATTGTGTATGGGAAAGAATTTTGGCAGCTACAAGTTTCCTCTCTTTTGTAACACCTACCAACATTCTCATTTCTACACACTTTTTTAAGGTGTAGGAGCCTAGTCCTTTAAGACATTGTGTAGGACAGGCATGGCCAAACTCGGCCCTCCAGATGTTTTGGGACTACAATTCCCATCATCCCTGACCACTGGTCCTGTTAGCTAGGGATGATGGGAGTTGTAGGCCAACAAGATCTGGAGGGCCAAGTTTGGCCATACCTGGTGTAGGAGAAGCAGCAGCAGCTGCTACAAAGATGCATACAGATTACATTTTTTACACACACACACACACACACACACACACACACACACACGGGGGGGGAGTCTGCTCCCCCCTTCTTTCCTTTTTCCTCCATACTCACCTGCAGATTGGGGTGTATCACAGCAGAGATCTCACCATCAGGATAGCGGGGAAAATCCACACGTTCAACCACCTTGTATGCTTCAGTCTCAAAGGCTGGGAACAATGTGCCTGACAAGAGGGGATGGAAAGACAACCAGACCATAGAAAGGAGAATGCCTCACTTAATGGCCAATGGTCCATTAGGGCAGAAGAAAATGTGGGGTCCCCACCCCACTCTTGAGACACAATCACTATGGGGCTGTACATCAGCGAATGGCACCTGAACGTTGGTCAAGGCTTCATGCCAAAATTCATTTAAAAACAACAACAGAGCTCTTTAATAGATGGAATATCATAAATCACACAGTGGACCACTCTAGAAGCATATAGCATAAAACATGAATTATATCGTCATAATGATTTCTGAGTAATGTATGGTGGTTGTTTGGTAGGCCAGACACACACTATCTACTTCTGTCTATATACTCACAAGAGAAAAATGTGTGTGTAGGAGGGGAAAGACTGTCAACATTCACCACTAAAACTAAAAAGGCAATGCCAACTATCTAAGGGCTCACTCACACTTTCCTTTGTCCTTCAATTTCTTCTGTTTTTCCTGTGATTTCTCCGAGAGGGTTTGTCGGTTTTTTGGTCCTGTCACTTTCTCTGGGAAAACTCGCTGTTTACTGCTGAATTAGAACAAGCGTCAATTTGCAGAAAACCCTACTGACATTTGTTCCGATTCAGGAATAAACAGAGGGTTTCCCAGTGAAAACAGCAAGGAAAAAGAAAAGCTCTTGGACCCATGCCAGTCACATCCATTTAGCTCAAGGGTAGAGGCCAAATGTGGCTCCCTAGGGGCCCTCATACCTCTCCCCAGACCACAACCCTTCCCTAGATCACACAGGCCCTGCTCTGAGATTTCATCAGGTGCTTTTGCCTAGCTGGAATTTGCCCTTCAGCAGCAACAATGCCTCTCACTTGGCCGGATGGAAGACGAAGAGGAGTGTGTTTGTCAAAACCTCTGACCTTTGCACGGCTGGAGTGGCACCTACTGTACAAAGGGAAGAGTCTCACCCATGGCTCCGCCCATTTTGCCACTGGCTCTGCCCCACCCACTTTTGTCTCTAGGCCTGGGCACCACTGTCACAAGGCCTCCCAGGAGGAGGCTCCTCGTGAGGGAATGCAGTCCCTGAGGGTGAAAAGAGTTCCCACCTCTGATTTAGCCCAGCTCCAAATCCCAAGAATCAGTACAGAACAAGGAATGATGGGATAGGTCACCTTTGTTAAAAAGCTCAATGAAGTCCAGAGCACAGGCCATGATGGATCTCATCTGAGCAAGGCAGTCCGCTCGCGCCACTCCTTGGGGCTGAGGACCCAGCTCTAACGCTGCAGGGGAATAACAGAGAAGTGATTATGGAATTATCCCAGCAGAGTCCCTCTGCCTATCTTACGTAAAACATGAGCTTCCCGAAAGCCTTTTGCATAACTGGCACAGTGGTGGTCTGATCCTGTGCATTTCACTCCCTTGCTTTGGTAATTTTTTAAGCACAGCATGCCATTACCTTTGGGTCAAACACCTGCTGTTAGTACACCTATATGAAACACATTTCCACCCTAGCCCTGCTCAGTATCAGAAACAGTAGCATAGTTGTGATAGCATAGTTGTTGAGAGTGTTGGATTTGGAGGACATGGCCTGGGTTACCCCTCACCCACAAAACGTATTGGGTGGTCTTGGACCACCCACTGCCTCTTAGCTTATTCTTCCTCCCAGGGTTATTGTGAGTGTAAAGGGGAGGGAAAACATGTCTCCTGCCCTGAGCTCCTCTGGGGAGCATGATACACATTATTTATTATTTATTTATTTATTTATTTATTTATTAAAAACACCTCATGAGTGAGTAGGTAAATAGGTATCTCAATATGGCCCACTGTGCCATGCCAAGAACCAAAAACAATTAGTGGCCCTTGAAGGGCATGACAACTAGAACAACTCATGTAGGTGAGAAAAACTGGCATTTAAGACCTGAGCACGATGGGAGACTGGGGCATCTGAAGTATAACTGAGTTAGCTGTTGCATATTTAAGGCCCGTCACCCGAAACCTAGGTAAATCTATTCCATCTGGGTCCTTCCCCTTCAAAAGACAGGCACCCCCTAAAACAGAAGTGAGGAACCTCTGGTTCACAGTACAATCTTGGCCTGCTTGGGGGTGTCCAATTGGGCCAGGAAGCAATTTCCCCCAAACCACATTCATCTGCCTCTCAGCTCACTTCAGTCCCCTTCTGAGAATGGGCGCATGTAGCCAAAGCAGCAGGTTTTAACCCTTGCTCACCAGCTAATGACCCTTTGCTGGACAGCTGAAGAGCAGAGAGTTCAGTCCTGCTGGTTGCTGAATGCACTGGCAAAGCAGACCCCCTCCCTGCATCATGACATGCGATGACTGACAGGTGAGTGGCCCTGCCCCTCCTGTGAAAGTTGACCTAGAACGGATAGTTCTCTGCCATCAGGAATGCCCAGGCTGATTATCACTCCCTACCTATTCCAGCTTTGGCCACTGAAGTGAGGTAAAGAGTCTCCTCTCCTGGCTTCTGATAAAGGAAGATGGTGCAGGGTCCCATTGAATAATGCTTCTGTGGAGAAAAGAACAGAAGCAGCTTTTAAGGGGAAACTTCAGCTTTACTTCCCTGAAAAAGCTGGAGAAATGAGATTTTCAGGAGATCCCAGGATCATGGGCTTACCTGAATGTAGTGACACATGTGCATGGGCAACAGGCAGTGCTCAGTGGCCACAAAAAGGCAGGCGCCCATGTTGGCTGTGGTGTTATGTAGGTCAAACATAAAGTCATAGGCCTGAGATGAACCCCTGGGCCCAAAACTCTGGTCGATCTCCTGAGCACGTTGAACTTCATAGTTGTCTATGTCAGAGTCCTTGGAGCTAAGAAACAGATGAGCAAAACAAAGGTGAGCGCAAACTGGCAGATTCCTGGGCCAAAAGAGGGACTTCAACCAGGACTGAAGGTGAGATGACATTTTCCCATGGAGGTCTTCCAGATGTTTCTGAACTACAACTCCCATCAGCCCTAGCAAGCCTGGCCAATGGCCTGGGATGAGAGGAGTTGTAGTTCAGAAACATCTAGAGAGCCAAAAGTTCTCCACCCCAGCCTTATGCAGCGAAATCCAGTCTTGAGTGATGATTTAGCACTCCAACACATCCTCAGACCTAGCTGAGAGGAATGCAAGCCAAAGAGGTTTCCCTTCCCCAGTAGCAGGAGTGGCAATAACTCTTGCCTTTCCTAGGGAAGCTCTGCAGAGCAGCACACAGGCTCATAGACTCACGTGAGAAATTCATTGAGGAAAGCCCGATTAAGATCCCTCCCAATGTAGCGCACACATTGCTCAACTGCCCGTGGGTTGCCCAGGAAGGGCGTAGCTTGGAAGGTGCCGCGTTGCAACTCAGAGGGGTCCCTGAGCCAGTGCTTGGCCAGGTAAACTCCCGACATCTCATTCCCATGAGTGCCCCCAGAAACGGCCACTCGTTTCAAGGAGGGAAGACGTTGAAGTTCTGCCATGACTGCGGTAGTTTTGGCTCCTGTTAGGAGAAAGAAAGCCAAGAAATGACTGCTGCCCTTTTGGAAACATCAGAGAAAAGAATTCCCCCATTTGCACCTAGCCAAACCATTTCTGTCCCCCAAAGCCCTCCTTAATAGCTACTTCTGCAAAGCCTTTGTTTGTTTATTTCATAACATTTATATGCTGCTTGATTGTAAAAAAAAACCCCATTCAAAGCAGTTTACAAAAGATAAAACAGTATAATTTCAACCCTATTTTAAAACATACAGATGTTAAAATACTAAAACAGATTAAAATTACTTCCTAAGCATCAGGGCGGGCTTGCCTAAACAAGAATGTTTCTGGCAGGCACCAAAAAGAGTGCAATGAAGATCCCTCTTGATTTCAAGAGGCAGGGAGTTCCAAAGTGTAGGCGCTGCCACACTAAAAGACTGAGTTCTTACAAATACAGAACAGGTATTATGTGGCACCTATTATGTAGTGCCAATTTCGCCAATCGAAACGGCCGAGGGGCACATGGAGGGTAAGGTGATCTCATACATAAACTGGTCCCCAGTTCTTAAGGGCTTTATATCCTAACAGTGACACCTTAAACTTGGCTCGGCAGCCAGTGCACATCTCTGAGCACAGGTGTTATATGCTGACAAGGCCTCACTCCTGCCAGCAATCATGCTGCAGCATTTTGTACTAACTGCAGTTTCCGGATCAAGCAAGAGGGAAACCCCACATAGAGCACATTGCAGTAAATCCACAGCACTGAAAATTCACGAACTACTGTGGCAAGGCTTTCCCAGTCCAGGAATGACTGTTGCTGTTGAATCAGTCGCAGCTGGTCAAAGGAACTTCTAGCCACAGAGCCTCCTGTGACCAAGCTGGAGCAGAAGCACCCCCAAATTGTGAACCTGCTCCTTCAGAGGGGGTGCAGCCCCCTCCAGGGTAGGCAACTGACCAATTTCTCAGACACGGGTGCTACTCACTCCCAGCGCCTCTGTCTTGCCAGGATACAAGCTCAGCTTGTTTTAGCTCATCCATTTCACAGCTGCATCCAGGCAATGGCCCAGGAACTGCGCAGCAGCCTCTTTCGATTCAACGATTAAGGAGAAATAACCATTAGCACCTTGCCCCCAAACTCCTAATGACCACTCCCAGCGACTTCATGCAGAATGATATTACAGTAAACAGCAGTGGAGATAAGACAGTCCCCTGCAGCACCCCATAAGAGCCACCAGGGGGCACTCTCCCAATGCTACTCTCTGGACTTGGTTCTGAAGGCAGGATTGGGACCACTGTAACACCGTGCTCCCAATTCCCATTTTCTGAAGCCGGTCCAGGACTTTCAAAGCCTCACACATCCTACAGTGTCTACAAATAGTTAACTTTCTGCTACTTCCATTTCTCCACCTCATCAGGCCTTGGCAACCTCCCTTCACCCTGGCATGACTTGAAAGCATAGGTGCTATTTCGAGAGACCAGCAGAGGGAGTTTGCATCTAAAGTGACTATTATCTCAAACATTTAAATGGTTTGCATGTTATTGGTATGCATATGCAAAAAAACCACAAATCTCCTGTTTAAAATACAAGTGCACACCCACCCACATGCCTTTAATTATTATGAGATTTAAATAATAAAAAAGAGGGAGGAGGGAGAAACACTCATGTTCTCAAATTTCATCTTTCATAACATCATGAATTTGGCCATCTTGATAATGGGGAACGCCTAGCTGATGAGCGGCCAGGGATGCTAACAAAAGAACTGCTGTAGTCATTAATAACTTAATATGTTTTTCTGATAGTTGGGAATCTGGCAGCCTTTAGAATGCAACACCCAGGAGCATTTGGGAACACGACATTCCTCATATCTAAGCTGAGGGGCAAAGAAGCAGTTTGTCACCAGCTTTCAATTAGGAAAGGATCAGAGAGAGACTTTGTTAAGACAATTGGACATAGTTTTCACCCTCCATCAACTCCTTGAACCTTATGGAGAGACGCTTTCATTTGATTGCCTTTCTTGGAACGTCTAAAACTACAACCATCAGCCGCTATTTTGCTTTCTTTTCTGTACAGCTACTAAGCTCTAATATGGATATGTTTCGTTACTTGAAATTAAAAATAAATTGCAAAAATTAAAAGAAGTAGACGAAAGGACCAGGAGACATTTGGAGGCAGCATATGGAGCTATGAGTTGGCTGGTTGTGGAGTACCATGGGGTGCAGGGGTTCTCCTTGGAATCTGATGCCCAGTTAAATTTGCTGTCTGCTACAGAGGCTATCCCTTCCACAGTTACCACCACCTCTGGGGAAAAAACCTTTGACATTCCCTTCTCTTTCAAACATGGCGCGGTTGCTTGTGATCATTGCTGTGCACACAATGGATTTTCTGCCTCAGGCACCAAAATGCCATAGGTTGTTGCCTCTGCAGCATGTGTGTTGTTGGGATTTTTTGTTTTTGTTTTGCAATACGCCTTTCTGTCTGCCAGCGCGCCTGCCTGATTCTAACCATGAAGACAGACTTCATGGGAGGGAGCTAGACAGCTGATGTGTGCACCTCCTGAATCCTAGCTGCTGGGCAGCTCAGTTGGTAGAGCAGAAGTCTTTTAATCTCAGGGTTGTGGCTTCAAGACTCACATCAGGCAAGAGTCCTGCACTGCAGGGGGCTGGACTAGATGACCCTCATGGTCCCTTCCAACTCTATGAAGACTGTGACTCTTCTATAGGACTGCACAGAGGTGGACAAGTGAATGGAAGCTGCAATGTAGACCCCTTGCTCCTTCTGCCTGCCAGGTTAAACAGTGAAAGAGCAGAGATAAGTTTCAGTTAGAGTGGCCACTCAGCACACCACTAAAATGAGGACATGCAACACCAGCAAAAAGGTAATTTTTTTAAAAAAGACACTTATTTGCATATGCTAATTGATATGGATGCAAGTTTACAAACAATATCTAAATATCTAAAGATATTTTTTCTTTTACAGAAAGTTAGGACCACACATTTAATAAAAGATGTATAAAACAAAATGTAACTATGGTTAATTCACGTGTGGACCTATTGTTTTGCAGGAAAGCCCCTGAAGAAGGCCTTTTGGGGCTGAACACATAGGGCATTTTAACAACAACAACAATAATAACAACAATAATAACAATAACAATAATATTCTTCAGCATCTTTGACCCTTCTCTTTTTTATATATTTCCAGTGGAAAGCTTCAAATCCTCAATTTCCCCAACTAAAACAACAGGATAAATGGGCCCTGTCAGTGTCACCAAGATGCTGACATGGTGCATGATGGGGCCAAGTTCAGCAAAGGGGGAATTCTAGCTTACCTTAAAATGCTCTGAAAGGAGCTAGCTGCTGAAATTGAAAATGGCAGCTAGAGACTTACAATTATGCCTGGAGAAGCAGGAGAACATGCAGGGTAAAATCTTATGTTCAGATCTGGGCCTTCTGGAGAGAGGAATGGGAGGGCCCCATGTCATTTATATTGCACTGGTTCCAGGACTTGAAATTGCCAGTAGAAGTGACCTGGCAGACACTGAACATAGCTTAAATGGGGCCCCAGCCAAGGGAGCCCATAACAGCAGGGATAGTTGTAGTAGTCTTAGTGATAAGATTTAAGAGGTTTACAATTAAAGAAGCTGTGCTTAAGACATTGCACAATTTCCACGTGCTGAAACATGAGGAAGTGGAAAGTTCAGCGTGTTAAGATCTATTTTTGAAACCCTGGGACAGCGGCAGAGCTTCAACCTATAATGGAGAAACTGCAGAAAGCTAGGATTGCAGTATTGTTGGGGATTTCATCTTCAAGTTGGCTGGCAATTTTTACTCTGCATCCATCCTGCCAGAAGTATGAGGGCTGCTAGCTGATCTGCAGCTAGAAACCTCCGACGGGTGCAAACAGAGGAAGCAGATGGTGCAAGTGGCAGCCACGATTCTTTCTAGGAACAGCAGAAAAAGAAATCCAGAAATGGCTGCCTTCAGGGGAACACGATAAGGAAATTGGAGCCACTGGGAGAAAACAACTTAGGGCAAGGAGTTAGTTGAATACTACCCATGAGATACAACTAAATCTCTTGAGAGGGATCAATATAGAAAAACAGCTACGATGCTCAAAAGGGCCAAGCTGAATGTGAATACAGTGGAACCTCGGGTTACATACGCTTCAGGTTACATAACGCTTCAGGTTACAGACTCCGCTAACTCAGAAATAGTGCTTCAGGTTAAGAACTTTGCTTCAGGATGAGAACAGAAATCGTGCTCCGGTGGCATGGCGGCAGCAGGCGACTCCATTAGCTAAAGTGGTGCTTCAGGTTAAGAACAGTTTCAGGTTAAGAACGGACCTCCAGAACGAATTAAGTACTTAACCCAAGGTACCACTGTAATGCTCTGATGGTAGGAACAGCTGATCTGCAGAGAGAAAGGGCACAAGGCATTGTGACTGAGGCACCACTGACACTTGGCCCTCTGTTGAACTTTAAAATTTTGCAGAGACAAACTATCAACAATGTTTGCCACGGTGGTAGCAAAATGGCAGTGGTGACTACCCTCTCTGTGACTACCATAACTGCCATACCTTGCTCTGAGGAAAGGCCTCCTCCTTGCAGTGCGATACTGTGCTGCAAAGATGCTGCAAGGATGTCCTTGCACTGGAGGCAGTGGCAGAGGGAAGAGGAGGAGCAGCAGAAAAGTAGTGGAAGGCAGCAAGAGGAGAAGGGGAAAGATGGTGTCGGCAACAAGGGGAGGGAAAGCAGCAAGCAGCAACCATGACCTACATCAGCGCAGCGTACTGTGTTTCATCCAGTGCTTTTTTCGGGGGGGGGCATGCAGGGGTACACCCCCCAAACGTTTTGTGAATCTAAGTTTGGCCTCATTGAGGGGCAGTATTTCAATACGAGTAGGAAAATGAGAGTACCCCTAAACATTATTATTTTAGAAAAAAGCACTGCTTTTGCCCATCTTTTATGGTTCTATAATTGGATTTCAACTCCCATCACCCCTTATTAGCCACGCTGGCTGGGCTGGGCCTGAAAGGAGCTCCAAAAGTGTCTGCAGGGCCACATGTTCTCCATTCTTGAAGTAGGAAGTGACCTGAAAAGCAGAAAGCTGAGAAAACAATGCATGGGTGCAGCTGGAGAAAGAAAGAGCCATGTAGGACTGAGCAAAGTTATACGTAAGACATGCAGATAGGAGGAGCTGTACACCACGGGCAAGGAGGAAGCTGGCAAGAGAGCACAATTTGTAGACTGGAGTCTAGACCAGACAGCATTTATGCTACCATTTATGAATGACATAGGAGGGCAACTCTTCCAGTTGTGGTTTCTAATGTCACTTCAGCAATGTGGCCAAACAACCCTAAGCAGGTAAGAAGGGCCATAGTACTAAATGTCCCATATTAATTTGAATTAAGCAGCTCATTATTTGGCTGCCAGTTCCTAATTTCTACAAATCCACATACCTGCAGCTGGAGAGTCCACAAACTTGCAAGTATCTTGTGAAGACTTTGCAGAGCTGCAGATGGCGGAAGGACAATCCAAAGATATCTGGAAGAAGGGCTTATGAGAAGAATAGGAAACATTCGTGCCCCATAAGATGATTTAGTTTACCAAAGTGTATGGAAAAATGTAAATGAACACAGTCCTGCTATCCAGAGTAAGCTCTTGGCCTTCATGATGTTCAGTGGGAAAATAACAGAAGTTGGGAACACTTACCCGTCAGAGGACTTACCGTAAATTAATATGGGTTCTTAGCTCAGGACGGCTCCTGTCACCTCAGTGCACTTGAGCTGTTAGAGTCACAGTGAGGCTGGAAAGCGAACATTTAACCTTTAGCTCTAGCTGTTTGGAGCCTGGTGAATTATTTTCTTGTTGCAATTGCCAGTGACCTATGGACCACACTGCATCTGCGCCAAAATGTTGCCCTGTCTTAAGTTCTGAGTCAAAGAACCCAAACTGGGCAAGAAATTAAGAATAATTGCTAGGGATTAAGTATGAAATCACCCCAGCCTGTGTGGTTGGGTTCACACTTGCAGGACATTTGCAGACTATTGCTATTTTCAGGTGGGATTCAATCACGTAGTGGCAGATTCAGGCTGCACAATGCCAGTTGATTGGGAGGTTTTGCACAAGAAGCCCACTCATTAACTAGCTGACATTGCCTCTCCACCCTGTAAACAAATCAGGATGAATGCTCAGTAACCATGTTGCCTGGGAGCACCCTGAGTTGTGCACTCCAGCCCCCTAGAATCTAGTCCTAGACAAAGGATAAGACATAATACTGTCTAGTCGACAGTTTGAGGTCCATGGATAATGGTGATCAGTGCTTTTTTTCTTAAAAAATGTTCGGGGTACTCTCATTTTGACTCAAGAAAACCACCATTTTATAGATCAAATCAAGGAAAATAAATACAGTAAATGGACAAAAGTACAAAGATTCACAAAATGTTTAGGGGTATGCGTACGCTTGCGTCCCCCCCAGAAAAAAGCATTGATGATGATGTTCCAAAACTGGATACAGCTTTGGGGCTCACACTGTTTACAACTGCTCTGCCTGCTTATTAATGAGCAGATATTTCTAAAAACTCTTGCATGCTCCCTTACTTCCTTGAGCAATGAGAAGTTGCATGGGCAGCACTGCCAGAGAAAGATGCCTTGCACCCCAAAGTACATTCAGCAAGCATAGCTCTCTTTTTGTCTCACTCTAGACTCCACAAATGCCCTTTTCTTCTCCCTCACACACAAATGCACCCACTTTACAATATCCCCTCCACTAGCTTTAGGTCTCCTGCTTCAAGTTCTGATTCCTATCTCCTTCAAATGACTGAACAAGATTTCTAAGTAGCTACCAACCATGTTCTCCTACTGAGAAACATCATTGTGCTTTTAGCTACTATCACTCCTAGCAAAAGAATTGTCTTCTAGCCACAGATTCCAGTCATTAGTGTAATTTTCTACCATTGGATTGGGAAGCACAAAACAATGTCATGTGGAAGATCTCCATGTAGGGTAACAGTGTCGTGTAGGAAAGAGTCTGTGTTCTTACCAGCTACAGGACTGATCCAAGACATTTTGCTTCTTGAAACAAAGGACAAGATAGTGCCTTCCCTCATTTCCACATATAGAAGCTAACCAGTTTAGTTTTACTTCAACACTGGCAATGGGACAGCGTCCTCCACAGCACCTGAGGCGGTGTAGGGCAAACTATGTGGCAAACAAACACAACTATGTCTTCTAACGCCTCGCCTCCAGTCCCTGTGCCTCTAGCATTTGCTGTCTGAGGCAGCTGCCTCACTCCACCTAGTGGTAGGGCTGACCCTGTCTAGGTAAGTGTGCACAGGATTGCAGCTTAAACTGACCAGAGGTGACAGGCAAGATTCAAAAGCCATAGACCAGCTCAAATTTATAGCGATATAAATAGGTAGAATTGACACTTGCGCCCTATTCTTCTGCAGGATAGGACTCCTGGAGAAACCACTGACTCTTTTGGGCCTGTGATGAATAGAATCCATTCCATCCTTCATGTTATTTTCTCTCCCTGCAAAATACCTCAGTAAGGACTTCTCTTGCCTGCTGCTCTCTTGGAGCCATCCTTCCCTCCCTCATGCTAAGAG